TTCTTGGTGCTTGGCCAGCACTTCATGCAGAGCCTTTCAGGCAGGACAGTCCTCTATCCCAGGCCATGGCAGAGTGGAGCAGGGTGCCTGGCATGGACTGGTCCTATCTGGGAGGAAGGCAGAAACAACCCTGCAGAGGAGCCCCAGGGCTCCTGGGGACTGTGACTGGTGTTAGACCAACACCCCCAGCAGGAATTGGGGTTCTGAGGAGTGTGTGGTCCCTCCAGGACTGGCAAAGCTGCCTCAAAATCTTCCCTAACTCTGGGGGTGCCCCTGGGAGCTCCTCACTGCAGCCCCCAGGCTGCCTGTGCCAACATGGGGCTCAGCATCATCATCCAGGGCTAGGTGTTGGGGGAGAGTGCTGTTTCCACAAGGGACCAGAGGGACCTGTTTTTTCAAGAGGGAACGTGGAGGTCTGAGAAAGGCCCGCCCAGCCACTGTCTGTCCCCGGGCTGTGCCAAAAGGCTCCACCAGGCCAGCCTGGGCTCTTATCAGCTCCAAACTTTTATTTGCCTAAGGGCTGCCCGCCCACCTTCTGGGGGGCTGCTGCCAACCCCAGCCCTGCTGCTGCCCCCTCTCCAGCCTGGCCCTCAGGTGATCCCCTTGCTGTTGTTGTTGGCAGCATGTCCCGGCGGCGTGGGGTCACTGCAGCTGCCCCGAGCCACTTTGTCACAACATGGGAACAATAGTGGGACATGGAGCTGTATTTGTGCAGCGCCTGGACACTGGATCCAGGCAAAGGGGGGGTGGTCTTAGCTGTCTTGTTTTCCACCTTGCAGGGTCACTCGGAAAAGCGTGATGCTCCCCCAGTGCCAACAAAAATAGGAGTCCAGTAGAGGGGAGGTGACCTGGGGACACTGTGGTGGGTAAACATGGCAGTTGCTCTGTTCCCTTTCACTCGGGCATTTCCTCCTGGCCCAGCACACTGGAGCACTGGGATGTGGCCCGTCATTGCGCTGGGTTGGCCTGGGAGGTCCCGATTGGGCAATGGTGGGAGCAGGGTCCTTCCACAGCAGATCTACCCCAGCACCCTCCAGGAGGATACAGGGAAGAGCTGGGAGCTGGTGGTGTTCCCAGATCCCCACCCCAGGGGGTTTCACTCCCTCGCCCCCAGCAGGGAGGAAACCAAGGGTGGGCCCAGCCACCAGCCCAAGGACAGTGCAGCTGGGGTGCCTCCCTCCTCATTTCCTCCAGTGGCTGATGGCAGCGATACTGCCCTATATCACCCATATTTCATTTTCTCCAGGGTATTTTTAGCTTGTCCCACCCTCACTGGAGAGGCCCTCGACAGAGAGCAGGCTCTGCTCTAGCCTGGTTTGGCTGGGGAACTAAACAAGAGCCCCAGCCACATTGTGTGCCTTTATCTGTGGCTCATTTCCACCTATTATGCAGCCACAAGCAGCTCCATGGCTTCTGCTGGGTTTATCTGCAGTGGAGGGAGCACGGCCGAGCTCAGCTTTGGGCCACCGTGAACTTGGGATGTGACAGTTCTGTCAAAACCCTGAGGACTGGAGGCCACAGTAGGGAGGGTTGTGCTTTCACTGCGTGAGTGGCACCTGCAGTACAAATGGGTGTCCACTTTCCCCTTCACCCCACACCCACCATTCCCACACAACAGCATTTCCCACTCCCTCAGCCCCAAACCCTCTCTTGCCCTCCCAGAGGCAGCTGGAGGCTGCAGGAAGCAGAGTCATAGCACCTGCACCTTTTCTCATTCATTCAACTTTATTCAACAAGATGCAACATGGAGTCTGCCAGAGGAAGGGAAACAGTGCTGAGGGCAGTGCCCACACCTCACACATCTGGGTCACATAAGACCTGCAGCCCCTTGGTCACAGGAGGATAATCTGCTCTCACAGCATCAGTGGGCTGGGGAAGTCAGGGTGACAGCTCCTATGACAAGCTGTTTCTTCCACACACACCCCCTCCCCAGCCTAAAGCAGGAGATGACTAGTGCAAAGTTATAAAAAAACACAAAATCCCCCAAAGTATCAGGTGCTGGGCTGATTCCTCCCTAAACCCCACAGGGCTCCAAGGCACATGGCCAGGCTGGACATGGCTCCCCAAAGTCCCTGCAAACTGCACCTTTAAGGGAGAAACTTCATGCTCAGACCAGCAGGTTAAAAATAACTTAAAGGCACACATCCCATGGGAAAGAACCCAGGGCTGGGAGGGGAGGAACTCACACTCCTGGGTCACCCACAGTGACCCTGCAGCCATTGGGATCTGCTGGTCACAACAGAGCTGGCTTGACCCCTCTGTGTCCCATGGGGAGGGGGCAGCTTCTGCAGCAAACCCTGGGCAGGTGCCAGGGCCACTGGAATGGGATGGGGCTGGTGGCCAGGATCGATCAGTGCTGCCCCAGCCCAGCTTTTCCTGGCAGTCCCCGGCTCAGCCTACTCTGTGTGGAGGCTGGAGATGAGCAGCTTCCCACAGCTGCGCTCCTGGCTCTCATGCCAGCAGAGGCTCTGGGGTCCGGCTGAACTGCTGCTCCCAGTGGTCAGCAGCCTCCAGCCACGGCCTCGGGGACAGCCTGTTCCACGGCATGGCTCCAGGGCTTTCTCCCTTTCCCACGGCAAGCCACACAGGACATGGCGTCCCGGGGAACTATGTGCAGTTTCCTTCCTTGCAGGGTCTGTGGGGAAAACTGGCGAGAGCTGAGGCTGCGCTCCATGGCCGTGCTCCTGAGCATCCCATCCCAGGGCAGGCAGGTCTTTGGAGCCTCCAGAGAGGAATGTGTATGGCACAGCACCAGGCAGGAGGCAGCTGCCAACCCGCAGCCAGCACCTTTGCAGGCACAGGGGACTGAGGAATGTCCCCCTGCCAGCCGGGGCCAGCCCGGCACTACACATACTGCTTTTTGGAGGCTGAGCTCCCAGGCCGGCTGCCCAGCTTCTCCTCTGGGGCCGAGGCTTCAGCAGGCTGGGGTGTGTATGGGTTCGACAGTGGTCTGGTGCTGCTGCCCAGTGCCAGGTTCTCCTCGTTGCGGTAGTTGGCCCAGTTCTGCTCGCTGGACAGCTTGTTGTAGGTCTGGTAGGAGGGTGCGTGGCTCTCGGCCATGGGCAGGAAGGGATAGTGCTTGGGCACGTAGGGACTTGAGACCATGTCATCCACAAAGGTGTCCTGGCTTGGTCCAGCTGGCCCTGACACCTTCTTGATGTTGCTAAGCAGGTTCTTGCAGCAGAGGTGGAAGAGCTCCAGGAGGTTCAGGATTAAGGAGATCAGGCCCATCACGAGCATGAAGATGATGAAGATGCTCTTCTCGGTGGGGCGGGAGATGAAGCAGTCCACTTGATGGGGGCAGGGGTCCCTCTTGCACACGTAGCGGGGCACCATGGAGAAGCCATACAGATACCACTGGCCCACGAGGAAAGCAGCCTCAAAGATGCTCTTGCAGATGATGCTGGTGATGTACGTCCACATCAACGCCCCTCGGATCTTGAGCCGCCCACTCTCTGACATGCAGATCTTCGACATCTTCTTCTCCAGGGTTGCCAGGGCCTGCTCGATCTTTGGATCCTTGCTGTGGATAGCTCGAAGCTCGCTCTCCTGCTTCTTCAGCTTCTCCTCCTTTCGGGAGAGATAGACAACGTGGCCCAGGTAAATCAGGGTGGGGGTACTGACAAAGAGGAACTGAAGCACCCAGTAGCGGATGTGGGAGATGGGGAAAGCTTTGTCATAGCAGACATTGGTGCAGCCTGGCTGCTTGGTGTTACACACGAAATCCGACTGCTCGTCCCCCCACACGGACTCCCCGGCCAAGCCCAGGATGAGGATGCGGAAAATGAAGAGCACGGTGAGCCAGATCTTCCCAATCACGGTCGAATGCTCCTGGACTTGGTCCAGCAGTTTCTGCAGGAATTCCCAGTCACCCATCTTCAAGGGACCCTTTGCCTCTGCCAGCAGGGAGAAGAGAGCATCCATGTTAGTTCCCAGTTTCCATGCTGGGGAGCACAGGGCAGATGTGACGACCTAAACCTCCTGCTTTTTCAGGATATAGCTGCTCTGCAGAGTGCCCCAGCAAACCCTTGGAGGAAAATCCCACTTCTGAGGGAGCGAGGGTTCCAGGCAGAGTTTAGGAGCCCCAGAGGCCTCCTCCTACACAGTGCAGGAACAGGGGGCTGGGAGAGACAGGGATTCTCTCCTTGCACCCACAGCTCATGGCTGTCCTGGCCACTCTGGGGACAGCCTGCAGCCAGGAGCTCTTTTGGGACTGCCCAGGGAGCTCAGGGCACCTGGAAAGGAGGCACCGTGGGGGCTCACAAATTTGCTGCTGACCTGGCTTTCCCAAAAGACAGAGAGCAGGATAGTCAGAGGAGAAGCACAACCCCTTGTGCTGCCATACCGATGCTTATTTAGGGCTCACCCCAAACAGAACGGACAGCCCTCCACCAGCTCCCTTGCTGCAGGGCGATGGACTCCTAGCCGCAGCCCCTTCCCCTCGCCAGGGGATCCCCGGCACCGCTCCCCACCCTGCTGCCACTCCCGGGATCCTGGGGAGCCAAGCCCTCACCCGCGGGCGTTCAGCCCGCCTGTGAGGGATGGGACAGGGTGGCCGCAGCCCCGGTTCCTCATTAACCGCTGCTAATTAAGCACAAGAAGTGCCGGCTGTGCAGTTAAAGGAACACCCGGTAGCGGTGTGGCGGTGGGGTGCCCCATGGCCAGCACGGTGTCCCCGTGCCCCGGTGTCGCGGTGTCCCGGCGGTCTCGGGTGCCCGCACTCACCTCCGCCGCGCCGGGNCGCTCGGGGTTTGCCCGGGAGGGTCCATGCGGCGCGGCGGGCGCTGGGTGGTGCTGGAGCCCCACCGGAGCCCGGCTGCGATCCCGCGTCCCGCCAGTTCTCGGGATGAACCCCACTGGAGCCCGGCCGGGAACTCCCCCGCAGGTTCCCAGACGGAGCTTTGCTGTCGGGGGGCCTCAGCACACCCCGACACGCTCGTGGGGCTGTGAAAGGCAGGCGGGCTGAGTGGAGCTGGAAAAAGCAAAGCCTCCACTACTGCTGCTTAAGGAGAAATTCAATGGAGATAATTTCTATTTATTGTAATATTTCTCAAGGTTTAGTAAATAATTGATGCTCATCCCTCCTTGATTTCCTTGGGGGCCAGCGTGAGGTTCTCCTGAATTAAAGTTTAATGATGCATGACAAGCTGGGAGAGGTGGAACGGGCGGACGTGAACTTGGCTGTGGGCTCGACCAATGCCCAGCTCGGGCAGATGAGGAGGACCTAGCTGAGGGCTCCTGAAGAACCTCTGCAAATCCATGTCTTCTCCCCTCACCGGTCCCCTGATTTCCAACATACAGAGCAGATCTTGGCATCTCCAAACATGACATTTGGATCCTTTTGGATCTGTAACTTGTGATGTGCATCTGAGGTGAGAGGACACACAGAGGCACCAAGGGAAGCAGCAGAGCCAGCAAGGGCATTTGGGCAGGACATGGCTTGGTGCTTGTGTGAGCCAAGGGGGAGAAGTTGCCCCACTCCAGTAATGGCAAACTGGGCCAGCAGAATGATTGCCAACAGACTGGAGCCCTGGTTCTCTGTCATTACTTTGGGTGCACAAAGAGAGCTCTGGCCAAGTTGCTCAGAATTCCTTTGGTTTCTTGGTATAAAAGAAAACAGTGCTTGGGTCTGTGCATGTGTGAGGCACAGTGAGCTGGGAGAACTGGCACACTCTGGGTGGCACCAGCCCTGGCTGGGCACCAGCTGGGTGCACTCACACCCAGCATGGGAGTGGCAGAGCTGCAGGACCCAAGAGAGGTCACGGAGGATCTGTGTGCTGCTGTGATGTCCATGCTTGTGGCACCGCTACCTGCAGATCTCCAGGGCTGCCCTTGCCTTACCTGTGTCTGCTCAGACACCCGTGGCTCTCTCTCCAAGGACATTACTTTGTTTGGTTTAGTCATTTTTCACAGGGGTCGACTCTTGAGGGTTCGGGGCTTTGGCAGGCTGGAAAAGCCAAGTTGAGGGGAATATGAACTGGCTGGGATGGGTGAGCTCACGGCTCTTCTCCTCTGTGGGAAGAACAGACACCCTCAGGCATGGCCATAGGCAGCCAGCACCCACCTGCCACCAAGCATGTCCACACCACTGAGACACCCAGGATGTGCCCATGGTCCCAAGCAGGAGAGCTCCCATGGACGTGTCCCCCTTCCCTTACAGCCACCAAGGTCCTGGCTGAAGAATCTGGTGGTGGCATCACTGGTGGTCACCTGTGGTGCCAACCATCCCTGGCACATACCGGACACTTCTTTCCCCACCACCCTTCCCAGCACCCCTCAGACAGCGGTCAGGGCTGCCACACACCTAGGCTGGGACTTGTTGTCCTTCTCCTCTGACTTGACGTGGCAGTGGTAGGTGGAGGCCTTGCTGTAGCTGATGGAGTGCTTGGTGGTTTTCCTCCACTTCCTTGCCCTCCGGACGACTCGCTTGAAGATGAGGTAGAAGATCTCACAGACAGTGAGGACAATGCAGATGGAGGAGGCTCCAACCATAAAATAGGTGAAAACCCTTTTCTCGGTTGGCCGAGCGATGTAGCAGTCCACGGTGTTGGGACAGGGATCCACATTGGAGCACTTGACCAGCCGTGGCAAATCAAAGCTGTCCCACATCTTGTGGAGGAGGTAGAGGAACAGGATCTCTACAACAAGCTTAAAGAAGAGGCTGAACAGGTAGGTCCACCACAGCCCGCCATGCTTCTTGCCCGTGTTGCTGTAGAGCTTGGGGCAATTCTCTCCATTCTTCTCCCGGTTCTTCCTCTCGCGGTCCTCCCGGTAGGCCACATGCATGATGACCAGGAGGGAAGGACAAGTGACAAAGATGAGTTGCAGGGCCCAGAGGCGGATGTGGGAGATGGGGAAGAAATGATCATAACACACGTTGGTGCAGCCCGGCTGCCGCGTGTTGCAATCAAAGTCCTTCTGCTCGTCGCCCCAGACCTTCTCGGCTGCCACCACATAGACCAGCACACGGAAGACAAAGACCACGGAGAGCCAGATGCGGCTGAAGGCTGTGGAGTACTTGTTGACCCCGCTGAGCAGCGCCTGCAGCGTTTTCCAATCCATGGCAGCTGAGGGAGACCAGAGTCACCCGATCTGGAGAGGCAGAAGGAGTGGTGGGTGAGGAGCGATGGGAGACACCGCTGGGGCCGCACATCTCTCTCTGCACTAAATCTCATTGACCTCTGAACCCTCTCCCCCACCACCTTACACTCATCTAGGATGGTGGCTCTTCACCCTTGCAGACAGTAAAGCTGATCCTCACACACTGCTGGTGACAGAGGTGACTCAATCTCTCTGCATGTCTTTCTGATGGAGCCTTTGGTGTAAGGGATGAGCCACCCCAGCAAGTCCTTGCCACCAACTCCATGCCTGATTGTGCGTGCTGGTGCAAACTGGCAGCATGATCTGCTGGAGCAGGCCAGGATCAACAGCCAAAAGGGAAATGGCTGCTCCTGCAGCACTGGGGTGCTGGGACATGCCAGGAACCTGTTTTCTGTCTCACAGGTGCTACCTGAGGCAGCCAAACACAGGTGACAGTGGGACTGCAGAAAGTGAGAGTCTGTGTGTGTCACAGTCTGTGTGTGTCACCAGCATGTCACCCTGGCCAGTGCTCTGCTCCTGCTCCGGCAGCAATGCTGGAGGTCCTGATGGCCAAACCGGCTCTGCAGCTCCACCTGGGCTGCCCTGTGTGAGGAGGGTGACACACTAAGCCTGACCCAGGGCTTTACTGCACCTGGATTTACAAACCCAGGTAGTTTTTACAGCCTCTGGGCTGTGAAGATGCCTGCCCTGACAAAGGGATTCACAGAACGCTGGGTCGCTCCCACTTTTAAGGAATTGCCGCTGTCTGTTGCCCACCCAGTGCCTTCTGAGACGTACCTGGAGGAGTTCCTTGCCTGCTCACCGGGGACTGTGGGGTGGGAAGTGTCCAGCACAGGGCATAGCCAGGATGCAACGGCAAACTGATGATCAGGGTCCTCTCATCCAGTGCACTGCAGCGTCCCAGGGCTGTGGGGACAGAATAGAACAGTGGCCGGAGCCCATGGAGCAGTCTGGGAGTCTGTCCTTGTCCAGGGCCAGCCCAGAGCAAGCCCCGAACTTGTGGCTCTGCTCCCACACTTCTGGCCCAGGGACACACCGGGAAGTGTGGCTGAGCTGAGTAGCCCCAGGCTGGGATCCTTGGCAGTGGGTGCCGAGTGCCAGGGCTGTGCCTCTGCCCATGCCCACACACCTTCACTCACCACCCCACCTGAAACCAGATCTTCCTCCCTGGCAAACCCTTGGCTGGGAGTCTGGTGTGGGGAACAATCACTGCATTCCCACCCAACCCTTGAATTTAAAACTGGGAGAGGGGAGATTCTGTTTTGTCCCCAAAAGCTGGTGCTGATGCAACCTGGAGCCTCTGCATACCCCCAGAGCCTGTGCCCCCTGCCAGCATGCCAATTCACACGTGACCCCAAGAGATCAACCTGGCACCCCCCTGCCCATAACCCACCTGCCCAGCACCCGTGTGCCCAGTTCAGCCCAGTGCTGGCTCCAGTCATGGACCCGCAGTGGAGCAGCAAGGGGACGCGATCTCTGCGCCAAGTTCTGTGCCAATCCCCGTGGCAGGGGGTGTGTGCAGCACCGTGTGAGCTCCACAGGCCCCCCAGTGCTGGAAGGCAGCCGAGCAGAGCAGAGCAGTGCTCAGGTGTGCTCAGCTGTGCCGACAGTGCTGGTCTGCCTCCTGCAGAGCCCGGCACCCTTGCCAGCCCCTGGGATGCCTACCTGCTGTGTCATGGCCGGGTCCTGCCCTGTGTGGGCGCAGGGCGTTGGAGCTGACAGCGCCCAGCTCCCACCTGGAGTGCAAACTCAGCGGAACCACTTTTCTTCGGGGGGTCTCTGCCTCTTTTGGGAGTGGGACAGAGGTGCAAGGCCTGGGGTGGTCGTTGGTGCTCCTCGGGCTGGCACATCATGCCAACTCCCTGCATCACCCCATGGGATGGGGACCCTGGCATGGCCTGTGGGGTCCCAATGTAGCACTGGGTGATTCTGGGATCCCCACCTCTGACCCCACAGTCACAGCAGCCCCAGGTCCCACCTACACCTTGTTATACTTTAACACAGCTCCCACCTGCACCCCGTTACACTGCGGGGCTGTTCCCCCTCAAGCCCGGCAGCCCCAGGGTACCCTGTGCCCGGAGTACCTGTCCAGGTGGAAAAGCCAGAGGAAGGTGTCCAGATCTGGGCGCCTCTCGGAGTGAGGAAGCTCCTTCCCAGCCGCAGCCCTCCTGCACACACGGAGTTTGTCTGAGCATGTGAGGGAGGGGAAGGGTGGTTGGTTTGGTTCCCAGTAACTGGGTGAGTCTGGCAAACAGCTCCCGGAGAGGTTCTTGCTGCGCACATGCACACACACGCTCAGCTTGAACAACAAAAGGCAGGTCAAATCCTGCAGGGATCAGCAGAGACGGATTCTTCCACAGGAAACACCAGCAGCTCCTTCCAGGTGATCTCCCATCCCCTGCAGGGATGGTCTGGGCATTGCAGACTCAGCAGCAAGACCAGAGACCTCGCACCGTCCCCCACCTGTGGGCAGCAACCATTGCTGCGAGTCCCAGGTTACGCAATTGTAACCCACTTTTTAAATGATTTTGCCTTAGTAATAGTTTTGCAACAGCTCACCGGTATCTCCAACCTACAGGAAGCTGCAGGCACCGCCCTGGCGGGGCCGGTGTAGCCAGGTGGGACCTTTCCCATAGAGCAGGGTGGCAGCAGGGACCCCGTGCAGCCGGACCCTGCGCTGCTGCTGCCTCACTGCCAGGGACCTAGGAGGTGTCCCTAAAGGGGGTGTCCCTCTCCCCAAGGCACTGGTGGATCCCAGGAGGCTGAGTCAGCCCCATCCCACCGTATCAACCCCGAGATGCTTGTGTCGACGTAGCCGGGCAGGCATGTGCTTCCCTTCGTTCACCTGGTTTCTAGAGTGCCCCGAGGCTTCCTTGGAATCCTCCGGCACACCCTGGGGCCGATCAGCCGTGCTGGAGCCTCACAGGGCACCTCGGCACCTCGCCAGGGCCACCCCTCCCATGGAGACACGTCTGAAGAGCCGCGGGGTTGGTGCCCGGAGAGATTTGCTCTCTGCTCTCCTGGCAGACAAGGAGCCGCTTGCCTGGAAGCTTTTGGTCTCCAGGAGCTCAAATAAAGCCAGTGAGGGTTTGCCAGGCTGGGGACACACAGGGACCTGGGAGACTCAAAGCAAGCCCTGGTGGGAGCCTGGGGTGGGGTGAGCCTGGAGGAGGGGACAGACACAGGCACTGCAATCCCAGACGAGAGCCAAGCAGGGGCTCCGGAGCCTTCCTTCACCCCGGAACTGCCCGGATCAGGAATTTGAGCTATGTTGTTGCAGAGAGCTGGTGTGGCAGGAGCTCAGCAGGAATCTGGGGGCTGTGGCCTGTGAGGTAAAAAACCCTGGAGAGAGGGAAGCTGTCGGGAGGCACTGGCAGCTCTGATTCCTTGCTGAGGCAGCTGCTCCCTGCCCCAAAGCCAAACCCTGTAAGGGTCAGGTGAAGAGCGGGGCCAGATCACCCCTGGGCAGCCTCTTGCCTGCAATTTTGGAATTTCAGGAGCGGCTGTGTGGCCACGGTGAGAAAGTTCAGGTGCATTTGGCATGGGCGGAAGGTTTCCCTCCGGCAGTTGGGTGGGGAGCAGAAACACCCCATGCTTTGCAGAGTTTTGAAATACTGAGCTGGGTGTTTGGGTAAATCAATAAATCCATCAAGGGACACATCCCTGCGCCCCCTCTACCATTACTCTGCCAGTGTGGGTGCAGGGACAATTATCATACGCTCTGAGTAAAGCAAAACCAGTGCCAGCATGGTTCTGCTGATCTCAGCACCTGGAAGCTTCAGGGATATGCCCAGGACATGTCACCCTGCTGCCACTCTGCTCTGACACGGCAGGGTGACAGGTGAAAGGCCTCAGTGCCAGATGTGAACGCTGAACACCCAGTGACTTAAGGAGGCCCAACCTTGGCTTGTCCATAAAGGAAAAGGCCTATGGAGCTTTTCAAATTGTGGAGCGGGCAAATGCCAAGCCAGCAGGAAAACCTCAGTCTCTTTAGAAGGGTCTTAAACGGGGCAGGGCAGGATTCTGCCTGCCAACAGCTGTCCCCCTCCAGGGCCACATCCCCAGGGACAGGACGCCCCCGCAAGAACAGGGGCAGAGGAGTCATGGGATCCTGAGAGCAGGCAGCCAGGCCTGGACATAAATCAAAGAGTTTCTCCTCAATTCCCAGCAATCAGGCGGGTTTTGGCCAGAGCAGAAACAAGCCCAAGCTGGGAAAGCCAAGCTACCCCTGACCTGTGCACGCAATCCCCTCCACATCCCTGCCTGGGCTGGAGTTAGTGGTGAGTTTCTTTAAAACCCCCTCACCCAAGAATTGAGGAGGTCTTCTGGGACCCCACAAGCAAATACAGGGAATTTTCCTGAGTGAGGATGCAAAATCTGAGAAATTCAGCTTTTATTGTGACACCCCCGCCCTGATTTGCTGACCCTGGTCCTGCCTCTGCATGCCAGGAGATTCCCAGTATCCAGACCCCTGTTTTTACAGCACCAATAAGAAGCAGGCAAATGCTCCCATTTTTCGGCTGATGACTACTTATCCCAAGCCTGGATGGTGCAAGACACCCAGAGCTCTGAGCACAACAAAACGGCACAACAACATCCAGCAACTGGATCTTCAGGTGTCTCACTAGGGGCAGCAGCTCCAGCTGTCATTTGATGTGTGGGAGTGGGACAGGTTGGTTTTCCTGGGGCTCATCTCTGTCCCCTTTAGCTCCTGCAGAGGGGAACACCTTGGGATTTCACTCTCCAGTCTGGAGCAGGAGTGGCCAACCTTGCTGGAAAACAAACAACCCAGCCCATGTTCTTTAAATCGGGGCAATGGCTCTCACACAAAGAACAGCTTGTGTCCTCTGACGTTATGGTTTTCATAAAGAAAACTTTCAGGTGGATAATCCAGCAACAGGAGTGGATGGAAGGAAGGCAGTGCCAGCACAGCTTCCCCTGAGAAGAAGTGGAAAAAAATTCTGTCTGTATTTCACCATCTGCCTCTCTGACCCCAAAGGTCCCCAAACTCAGTGGTGGCAGCACAAGGATCTGCTGTGGGCTCACAGGGCTCTGTGCCAGTGGCCAGGATCCCCCCAGGGCTTCTCCACCATCCTCACCCCCACCAGTGGCTGATTCAGTGTCTGCCCTCCCATCAGCAGTGCTGTAGCCCCACCTGCTCTTGGTTTCCCTTCAGCCCTGCCTGTCCCTGGCATCCCCCTGGCCACAGCAGCCTCTCAGCCTCCCACCCAGCACGTCTAGCTGGTCCTTTCCCCAGGACCCATCCTGTGGGAAAGAGCTCAGTTTTGCCCACAGAGGGTCTCAGCTGGATGACTGCAATGATCTGTCACAGAGAGTGGCCTCAGTCACATAAAGGATGTAATGATGGTGTTCCCTCACCCCCTGTGCCACTTCCTTTGGGACAGAGCCAGGGAGCGCTGGCACTGTCACTTGCTCATGGAAAAAAATAACTATCACACCCTCTGAGTAAAGCAAAACTAGTAACAGATCGAGCTGCATGTTCAATGTTAATGTTACTTGTGAGTGCATTTGCCATGAAATTATAGTTAATTATTCATGCCAGCTAATGCTCAGCTCCCTCTGATGGCCTCAGAAATGGCAGCACCACCCGTGTCACGGCTGAACGCGATTTATTACAACAATAAGTGAGATCAGATTCTGCCATTTAATGTTATTGTTTAATCAGTGGTTGGGGTGTTTTTCCTCTCTTGTGTTTGGCTGTTTTGCTCAGGTGTTTTGCCCGGGCCAGGCAGGATGATCCAGCAACCCACAGCAGGCGCTGCCTGCCTGGCCGGATCCTCATGCCTGTCATGGCTGCGGCACCAGGGACTTGCTCTTGTCCCCACTCAGCTAATGAGTGTTATTAATGACAATTGCATCAGCCTGACACCCACTGAGTGGCTGATGTAGGGTGAGACATAGGAAGAGGGGTTTCCTGGGGGATCAGGTTATCTGTGCTGGCTGTCCCACTGTTAGTTCACAGCTGCCATAGAACTGCTGCTCCCTGTCACTCCCAGGGATAGCATGTGTCCTACAGCCCTTGCTTTACCCCAGATTCAGCAGGATGATGTAAAATGCCTTTCCCAGGACAGGAGAGGCAGAGACCTCTCAGGCACAGCCCAGCTCTGGGGTGGACTGGGGCAGAGAGGAGCAAGAGCAGCCAGGAAGTTGCAGGCCAAGTGACCGGCTCCTGCTTTCTCTTGGGCAGCTCTAGGAACGAGCCTCATCCTCGGACAGCGTGCTGGGGCAGGAGGCCGTGAGTGGGACGGTGGCTGTGGCGGGTTTGTAGTCCGCCCCGTGGAAGACCTGCCCGCCTGTGCCCACGGGGTCGGCGCAGGAGATGGGGCAGTCGTGGCTGTGCTGCCGGCTGTGCCCTCCTCCGGCCTGCAGGCACTCACGGCACCGCTTCCCGATCAGGTAGGTGGCCTCAATGATGTTCAGCACCACGCAGACGCAGGTGGTGACCACCATGAAGAGGGTGAAGATGTTCTTCTCGGTGGGCCGGGAGATGAAGCAGTCCACCACGTTGGGGCAGGGCGGCAGCTCGCACTTCACCACCCGGGGCAGGGTGTAGTTCCTGTAGAAGCGGTAGAAGATGTAGAGGAAGACCACGTCCACGCTGGCCTTGAAGATGAGGCTGAGCAGGTATGTCCACCAGAGCCCGCCCCGCTTCTTGCCAGGGTTGGGGTAGATGCAGCGATAGTTGTCCCCTTTGGTTTCACGGAGCCTCTGCTCCTTGGCCTCCCTGTAGGCCACGTGCATGATGACCAGGAGGGACGGACACGTCACCAGGATGAGCTGCAGGGCCCAGAGGCGGATGTGGGAGACAGGGAAGAAGTGGTCAAAGCAGACGTTGGTACAGCCTGGCTGCCGCGTGTTGCAATCAAAGTCCTTGTGATCATCGCTCCAAACCCTCTCGGCCGCCACGAGATAGACCAGCAGGCGGAAGATGAAGACGAGGGAGAGCCAGATGCGGCCGAAGGCTGTGGAGTACTTGTTGACACCACTGAGGAGCCCCTCGAACACCCCCCAGTTCATGGCTCCCCAATCCTGTCAGCCAGGCTGGGAAGAGAGAAGACACCGACACTGAAGAAGCAGCAAGAGGTCCCCTTCGGAGCCCCTGTGTGCCGCAAAGCACTGAGCCATGCTCCTGGCACCATCTCTGACTTGCGCTGCCACACCGGGACACCACTGACAGCACAGACCTGGGCTGGGTGACACGTCTCCTCCAAGCATTGTCCCTCACTCTGGGAACACGGGGACCCGACAACGCTCGTGGTTTCTGCTGCAGCCACAGCATCCTCCAGCCACCGCCACCTCCGGTGCGCGGCTCAGCCCCATCCCGCCCCATCTCCCGCCTCGTTGCCCAGGTATTTGTTAATAATTTTCCTTACGTTGCCTGGCTCAGGCATACAACACATAGGAGCAGCTGGGGTGTGACTCACCCAGCTGTGCATCCTCTCCCATCACTGGAATCTGCGAGGAGCCCTGTGCCACTGCTCCGTGACCCCATGCCGTGCCCACGCACCGGGGAGCCCCACGGCTGGGCAGAGGCAGCGGCTGGGCTGGGG